TTGGTACCCAGTACAAATCCCGCAGGAATAAACGTTAGGCATAGAATGCTCAATAGCCTGGTTGAGAGAAAAGCCATACTGATCGCAACAAATGATCGGAAGCAACTAACAAACCTGTCTCAATAGAAAATGCTGCTAAATAAAATTTTTTTCAAAGTTTCCCTTACTGTATTACTGATAATTGATGCATAAGTGTATATGTATGTACATAAATATCTATATGCGGGAGCACACGTAGATTATAATGAAAGATCTTATATACATACATACATACATATGTGCAATACACATTCGTACATCGTCCATACATATGTACATAAATAGTATGTGTACACCTTGGTACATGGAATACAGATTGCATGGGGATTTTCCCTTAAACAAAGCATGCCCACCGCAAAGATCGCGTATTGCTTAGAAGAAGAATATGTAAATCACAGAAAACGCGAAAAAAGTATATAACATACATACATATGTACATATGCACATCCATACGTACATAAGTATAAACAGTGGTGGATACAGGGGGCGGCGGTGCAGGGTGGGGAATTGGGGATATATCGAATATTCATTGATATCATATTGTGTGACCTTTGGCAATCGACTAATATACAATACTAAATTGCAATTGATTGATACTTTCCATGTTAAGAAGAAAGTTAAGCAGCAAGTTAAACAATTTTCTTTAAGACATTGAGTCATAAGTGAAAAAGTAAGTTCTCCGTTTTTCAAAGTTAGCCTTCGAAATCGAGATATGGGGTTTCGATGTTCGAAATAGGACCTTTGGTAAAAAATTATCTTTAATTTTTAATTTTCAATTTTTATTTTTTATTTTTTTTTCGAATTTGTACTATTTTACATACATAGTTGAAAGTCACAGCAAGTTTGAATATTTTTGCAGGTTTAGAAAAAAAAAATAAAAATGTTGAATTTTATGATATTAAATTTGTTGAGATTTCTTGTTTTTTGGATAATATCCAAAATTTTAAAAAATATCGAAATCTGGGAGATTCTAGAAATTTTGGTAGAATGAGAATATTTTGAAATGTACAAAATGATTGAGATTTTAGAAATTTATACATTTTCCAAAATTTTGAGAATTTTATTTATTCTGAAATCTATCCTAAAATGTAAAGATGTGAAACATCACAAATTTTCGAAAAATTTTCATGTTTATGGCACTTGTGTATAAAACCTAAAAAATTCTTAGAATTCTAAAATATTTTTCGGAACATTTATTTTGTGCTTTGTCTACTCCAGTAAATACTATTTTAGTATGTTATTCACGATATAAGTTGGTAAAATATTTTGAGCATGGAGGTAGAATCCGTCACGTCAAAAACCAAAAGTGCTGAGGATGCTCTCTCAACCGAGGGATCCGCCATCAGCATCGGGCGGTTCTATTACAGGGCGGAGGACGAGAGTCTTCTATCCTCGGTCAACGAGGACGTCGAGCTGGCGTGGCTGGAGAAGACTTTGTAGGATGAAGATCCTGCAGGTAAATCTCCAACACTCTAGGGCGGTGTCCGCAAATCTCCTCATTCACCTAGAGCAAGGTGGAACCGACGTAGTCCTGATCCAGGAGCCGTGGCTGAGCAGTACCAGTATCTCCGGGATTAGGACGCCTAAACTTAAGCTGATGGTGTAGAAAAAAGCAGGTAGACCAAGATCCTCAACGAATTCAAAGCACTAATTTTACCTAATTTCAGCAATGAGGACATTGTGACGGTTAGCTTGGAGGGCGGCGCTAGAGAGCTCTGGCTCGTATCTGAATACATGGCGCCTGATGACGAGGTAGAGCCACCTCCACTATTGCTGCGTGAGACTATAGCCGAAGCGAGATGACGAAATGCCGATATTATCATTGGATCGGATGCAAACTCGAGGCACTTGTGCTGGGGAAGCTCAGACATCAACGCGAGAGGTGAGTCACTTTTTGATTATATTTTAAATGAGGAATTAGGTATTTGTAATAGGGGTAACGAACCGACCTTTATCACTGCTTATGGTAGGATCGAAACTGGTCGGGGAATGCCTGACCTCTCTCTCAGGTGCCTCGGAATACTTCCAAATCAAGCTGATTTGGGTACCGGGACACAGTGACATAACTGGAAATTGTAGGGCTGATGAATTGGCTAGGCAGGGAACCCTCGAGGCCATAACCTCGGAAAGGGAGGACGTAGGAGTTTCACTGGCAACATGTGGCCCGCTGTGGACAGATGGGCTCACAGTCGGCTCAGCCATCGCTGGCGAAAACCCCGACATGCAAAGTTGCAAGGTCCTTCTGGCCGATTGTCGACCGCAGGCGATCAAGGGAGGTTCTGCAGCTGGCTAAGCGCCACCTCTTGATTCTCACAGGTGTACTGACCGGAGATTGTACTTTAGCAACACACGCGGAGCGACTTAACACCGTCACAGATCACTTCCTTCTCAGTTGGCCCGTATTCGCAATACTAAGATTTAAGCACCTCGGTGCTCATTTCTCCAACACTCCTGAAAAGCTCTCCGGAGTGGACACCTGCTGCCTGCGGAACTTTGTTCTGAGCAGCCAGCGCTTCTCTTAGTTTTAAAAATGTGGTAACACAATGGACAATCTAATTAATGTCTAAGAGTGTCCCCCTGTTGCGGAGTCTGCCACAACAACCTAACCTAACAATGGGAAGTACCACGCCTCCATTTCCAATACCTATCATTTTTCGCCGTGCCAAGTTTCAGTTCCCCAGCATAATTGGGTTTAGAGATATATTGGTTTTCACATTTTAGTATGTATGCCAGATGCCACGCCCCCTGTATAATGGGGTTAACATTTCTGGATAAGAGATATATTTCATTGAAGTCCAGCGAACGATGCCCTCCAAAACGGGGGTTCAAAATTGTATTCTTTATTGTGGCGTATTTATATATAGATACCTTAAATATACCGTTTTTGCTACAAACCCTCCTCAAAGGACCTCTGGAGCCATCCAAGCGATCCCCGATTAAGCTGAATTTCTTTATGTCCACTTTTTACGATAAATCCAAGCATCAGAACCAATAAAATATTTTTTTCTGGCTAACTTCTATGGGGTGGCCCACTGTGCGTCGTCAATGTCTACATATTTTAAGTTTTTAAGCACTCGTGATAAAGCACTAATAGATTTTCTTTCGGTTGTAGTAGGTATTGCTTCGATAAAGACAACAAACGGCACTATATAGTTCTCGTCGTACAAATTAATTACTTTCTCCATCTTTTTTTGATTCACTGTCGCACTATTTATGTTTAACGGCCTTATGAAAATGTTGAAAATATTTTTTCCATTGTCTGTCTGTTCATCGACTTTAACTTTTTTAAATGTCTCTCTCGTCAAAGAATTCGGTCTTGTAGTATATTTTCCTTTAGTACCTTAGGAGCCACAAGGCTCCTCAGCGTCGTCGCTCATTTTGATATCAAACTAACTGTAGTTTTTCACTAGAATTTTTTATCAGAGTTTATTTTCAATAAATTTGGCAAAAATTAGTTCAGTGTGTTGATTTATGACGATAGTATCACTTAAACTATCCGTATGAAGTGTTTTGGTATATGTTCCTTCGATTTTTCACTATTTATTTAATAATTCAAAACCGTTGGAAAATATGCCGCCTTATACAGTGTTTTTGCTGCATTTAAAATTCAACATTTAGCACTTTCGAACATATGTTTTCGAAGAGCGTTCAAGCTATCGCATTTAGCAAATGTACATTTACGCGAGTTCGAAATCGTATGCTTTTGGCAAACAGCCGTGTTCCAGTCGCTTATTCAGATCCGTATCTATTACGATCAATTCTCACGCAGAAGATAATGTGCAAAAAAATAAATTTTAAATATTTTATAAAAATTCAATACAAAAACTTTAATCGTTTTAATCATTTGTTTGTGTTTACTTACGTTCATTTGTCGGTGCTATCAATTAAAATTTCCTCACTTAATTAGGAGGAAACAAAACGAACAGAGTTAATCACAAATTGATCCAGATTTCTATCAGCATCACATCGATGTTGAATTTGCGTATTTTTTCTTTATCCAACTAATGTAAAATAATAAATGAAATCTCGGCGATCACTGAAACGCAGCTAGCCACTGTATACTCGAAAAAGCAATGTTGCCACTTTTTCTCATTAAACCATGTTCGAATCATGAATCAATTAGAACAGATCTGACCGGTTGAGAAGCAGCCATTTGTAATAGCAATTGAGAAAAAAGTGTGTGACGTTCGTAATTTTGAAGTTTGCTATTTCTGTTTTGCTCTTTCTTTATTTGTATTTTGTCCATGGTTTATTTCAGTGATTTTTAAGTGATTTTTTGTGCAAATGTAATTAAAATGAGGTGCGCGGTGATTGGATGCAAAAACACGTACAAAAATAATAAATTGGTTAGCACAAACATGTGCACAACATTGCTTGCAGTTTTTCTTTATTCTTCGTCTCCATATTCTTTGTTTACTTTTCACAGAAAATAACATGGCGCCGAAATTACAAACGTCTGCCAGATAATTACTTTTTTCTTTTGCTTCATCTTGTCAGAACTTGTGTAGTTAGATCATGTGTTCGAATCGTGGAAATTTTGGAGGATCACAGGGTTGCTTTTAGCATTTAGATTCTTAATGCAAAAATGGAGTTGTATTTAGGTGACGAATTTTGTATGGATAAATGTAAATTTAGAGTAGCATTTAGAGCTAAATGCGCTAAATGTGCTTTTACGCGTAAGCAAAAACAGCCCATTATTAATTGTATTTTTGTATTATTTAAATTTTTTTTTTAAGAATTTTGCAGTTGAAATTTAAATTTCTGATATATCAAGAAGCATTTCTGGGAGATAAGGAACTCAACTATTGTACCATGGGCGCGACCAAGGCGTATCGATATGGATCAAAATGGATGCACTTTGGGCGCGACCTTTATTTTCTGGATCGTGAATGTGTACGAACAGACCTGTTGTGTTTTTATTTTTGTTATTCTTATCGTAGAACTGTCATTTCTCATTTTACTTTTCGATTTTTTTCATATACTTCAACATTGCTCTGTAAATTTCAGTTTATTGCAATCAATTGTTAACATAACTTGTAATTTTAATAAATGTAACGCGGAAAATCGGCAATATTAAGTACACATCAGCAATTTTCATTAATATTTCTATATATGTACACACATACGTGTGTGCGTGCAAGGATTTTGTGAAAAGTGCTAGCCAAAAGATAGGAAATGGGGCTGCGAATTGTCTTGCTGCTATTGCTCTCAGCCGGCGCCACGCTGGCGAATTCCAAGAATGCAGATTCCTCATTAGCACAATTAGAAAATAGCCTCATTGATAAACCAGAATGCAAAGAATTACGTTCACTTTGTGCACACATCAAACAAACCGATAATATATCCGTATTGGAGTGCGTCAGTACATTTTCCTCCAGTCAATTGGAGGCGGTGCCGGATAAATGCCAACATGCTTTATGGCTGCAACAGCGTATAATTCTATCAGATAGGTGGGTAAACGACCAGCTGGTACCACAACATTGCAGCGCACAGCAGCAACAGTTGACTTCCTGCCTGAACGCTGTGAATTTATGGAATTGTATACACGAGCGTGCAATGCGTATGGAGCATAGCAACGAATGTCGCGCATATATTTTGCGTGCAATTGCGGTATTTTTTCCAGACTTTGATCAACTGGGCGATTTTTTGATTGGCTGTGGCTCTCAAGTTGAACAGCTGGAGTGCGGCCGTTTGAACTTAGAACGAAGGAGCATGTCACAAATTGAAACTGTGCAGTGTTTACAAGAGACAGCAGCTGATTCACTGGATGCGAGATGCAAGGCGGAATTGTCGCTGATGGAACAACAGCGTAAGGATTTGGAATTCTTCGAGGCCTGCGGAGATGACTGGCGACGATTGTGTGGACAGGTGTGATATACCTTTTGTGTATAAAGAAATTATTTTTCTGTCGCTAAAGTAGTACTGTGTACTTTCGTGTTAATGCTTTCGTTTAAAAGATTCAGTATGTAAACATTATTTCTTTGTCTTTAGGAACCTGCTGGCACAGCTGCGGCATTCAAATGTTTGGTTAAGAACAAAGCAGATCCAACAATGACACGGCGTTGTGTCGAAAAAATTTCACAACGAGATCGCGAAATTGGTAAAGATTACCGTCTTTCACATGGTCTTGCTAAAGCTTGTAAGGACGATATCAAGCTATATCACTGCAGACGTGGTGTGTCAGAGGACAAGCAAGTGCGCTTGGCGCAAATTTTACTTTGCCTTGAATCGGTGGTGAAGAACGGCTCGTTAGTTTCGGCTGAGTGTCAAACGGAAATTAACGATCATCGTCACATGCTTATGCATGACTACAAACTGTCACCGGAAATTCTCAGCGACTGCGCCGACGATATACCGAAGTTTTGCGCTGATTTTGACAAGGCACAAGCGGTTAGAGGCAATGCCATCGGAAACGCAGATAATGGTCAGGTCATTCATTGCTTAATGGAACATGCCAGATCCAAACGTAGAAAGGATCGCCGAGTTACTGCGCAATGCCAACGCTCCTTAGAAAAGTTAATAAAAGCAGCTGACGTGGGAGAGGATTGGCGCGTGGACCCAGTACTGCGCCGTGCATGCAAGCCAGTCGTTGACGTGGCTTGCCGCGACACAGATGCTGGTGAAGCGCGGGTAATGTCATGTTTGATGGAACGAATTGGCACACCGGTAATGCGTCCAGACTGCGAGCAAGCGTTAATGCTCATACAGTATTTTGTAGCGCGCGACTTCAAACTGGATCCGCAGCTATATAAGCATTGTCACGACGACGCGATCAAATACTGTCGCGCTAAACACGTGTGGGATGATGTAAACGACAATCAAATGGATCCTGAACGCGGCCCACTCATATTGCCCTGCTTGCATCGTATCGCCTACAGTGATGATACTAATTTGGCACTGCGCAAAGACTGCTTCAAAGAGGTGAAGCGCGTTATGCGCCAGAGAGCTGTATCTGTGGATCTCATACCTGAAGTCGAAGACGAATGCATCGAAGATTTGTCCATGTTTTGCTATGATCGCACACAGAAGGGTGCCGAAATGGACTGTTTACAAACGAATCTTGAAAAGCTTTCTCCGGCATGTAAAGTAAGTGAATCTGCTACTAGTTGACTATCAATGTTTGCTAATAACATTTAAATTTACAGAAAGCTGTTACGACCTACACGGAGGAGGAGGCGGAACACATTGAATTAAATCCCGTCATTATGTCGGTTTGCATTAATGCAATGCAAACTCATTGTGAACACATACTAAAAGGCGAAAGGGATAACGGTGATATGATGGATTGCTTGATTTCGCATAAAAACGACGCAGACCTGCGTCAAGATCTCAAATGTCGCGCAGCAATTGAACATTTTCAAATAATTTCCCTGAAGAACTATCATTTCACATACAAATTCAAAACCGCATGCCGTCCACATGTAACACGCTTTTGTGCAGCAAGCACAACTAAAAATGAGGTTGTCGCCTGCTTAAGCGAAGTGATGCGCAACGACACCATACGCGGACAACGTCACTCTATACCAAAGGAATGTCGGCAACAAGTCAAGGCACAACTCTACCAGCAACGCGAATCTATATTACTTGACCCGAAATTGGCTAATGCATGCAAAAAGGAGCTTGAGACATTCTGTGGTGATGAGAAAGGTCCTGGTCAGGTGAATAACAATGCAAGTTTCTTTTCAATCATTAATCACCACACCAACACTCATTTGCTTAATGCTGTCACGGCATCAAGCCACCATATGTTTTAACAATCCAAAAACATGCGTTTACATGTTGTTATTTTGCTTCGTACAGGCCTTAGAATGCTTGCAAACAAACACACAGCGGCTCGGAAGCTCCTGCCACCATGCTATTTTCCTAGTGAAACGCTCACAGCTTTCCGATAGTGGCACGGACTTCACACTTGTCAACACTTGCAAGGAGATGACATACAAATTTTGTAATAATGCTGACTCAGAGCACTTGCTGGACTGTCTAAAGAGTTACAAAGATGACCCGCTGTTCGATCCGCGCTGTCATTTAGTCGTCGTAAATCGCATGATTGAGCAAAATACCGACTA